TAAGCCTAAACGTTGCAATGGTTTGCACCACTAATTAACTACTTATTTGGTTTACAACTACTCGATTGAGCTTGGAGTTGACTACCAACAGGTAATTTTTTTAATCAAACCAAAACTTCCGCCTTTCAACGTTTTCGTGTTTGATAAAATCGGCTCCCGGTCGACAAATATCTATCTATCTATCTATCTTTCCGCTTGTCCGCTTTGTTCGAATTGAACCTGACGAACATATCCTGCCTATGCAAATCCAGGATTCGATGAGACCTCATTAAAGCAAGTGGAGGGAACGTGCGGCACTAACGGGCAGACGAGCTGCCGGCATCATTGTGGGCCGAACTTAGTAGGGAACATGGCCAACAGTTGCTTAGACGCTCTCGTCATGTATCAGTCAACTGTCATGATTTCGTTATTACATGTATAATAAGATTATTTCATCGTAGCCTTTATTTTACAGATGTGTAGGCAAGCGAGCTACAATTGAGCTGTAAGATGCGGCCCTCAACAAGCAGCTAAGAAGAACTAGATAAACTGATAAGATGCAAAAACAAGCGTCATCATTTATAAACTTGATAAATTCGTGGTCGCTAAATTGACGTCCGGTGACTGGACAAACCAACGCACAACGAACTAATGCGTCATTCGTCACAATCACCGGGACCTGCCAGTAGGGATCCTGTATTCAAGAGAGCGTGTCTGTATGCATGAAATCGATCACAGCAACCAACTATTCCTATTGGTCCTGCGTTCCCCAAGGACGTTGCTAACATGACTTTGACAAAGCAGAGGACACAGCGACCCTAATTTTTGATGCTTTACCAGCAGTTTTCTAATTCGATCGCGTATTACCGCCCATACGTATATGGGCTAATTACGATAGAAGCCTATTACGACGTTGATGTAGTAGTTTATCAGCTACAGGAATAGTAGCGGTAGCCCTGCTCGGTTAACAATGGCGCCTCAGAAGAGTACTAGGATGTAGCAAAGCGCAATTACGCCTGTACTCGGTACGACTGATCTCGTACAAACAAATAACGAAACACGTGTTTTCGCATTCAGATAATCATATGGCAAATGTCGGGTTAGCATATTAATTCCACCCTACTATTTTATTACTATACTAATAATGATATTAGGCCTGTAATCTAAAGGCTGGTAGGAACTAGAAGCTGGCGGGGTGATAGTGTGTGTGCAGCAAGGACCTGATAAGGTTTTTTGTGTATCAGTTAAGACTCAATTAATTTTAGCACGGTAAGCGTTAATCCAATAGTCAGCTCATCTGGGAGCTATAGCGCGTGTCACAGCTTATATCTAAGCTGCTTCTCCTCAGAAAGTGGGCAGCGCGTTGTGGTAATAACAACTATTATTATGTAGGTAAGTTATATGGGATAGTCGAGGTATGATTAGTAAAGAAAATACCATACCGCACCATTCATGAGGTTTAAGAACGCCCCTTGGCTACAGATAAGTCTAGTTACGTTTACTGAAGCATAGAGAATATGTCAATTCGTGTTGTTTAATACACATTTTATGAAATGATAGTTCGATAGATCATTAAGAGTTCATATATATATATATATATATACATATTATTATAGAGGATGCCTGATTCACAAACAGAAGCAGGCGTAACAAATTCGAAAAGGGCGGTTTGGGCTAAATAAAGGGCATTTGTGGAGAAGAACACTACTCGATGAGACGCCGTGGAGGTGCAGGAACCTAAGCACATGTGATTCATTATGTTTGTATTTTTATTCGTACGAAGTGACCAATGGTAAGCGTTCTCAACTACAGAGATTTCCATTAAATGAATCCGTTGAGATAACAACCATCGTGATGGATGTACTTTGGATCCACGCTGAAACTTAGTAGGCGGCTATGCCGTGGACGTCATCCCTGTATTGCCGAGACTTCATTCATTAGTAAAAACTGTTGGTTAAACTATAAAAATCAACATTATACAATAAATACTAATAGACTGAAAAAAAAAAAATAATTGAAAAGTTATTGCAAACACAGTAAAATGAAGATTTACCACGCGGCAGTAAAATACAGTTACCAAGAATAGAGCGCATAAAAAAGGCGACATTATCTATAGCAGATTGTTCCTACCTATTTAAACCCATCTGTATGCGTTCGTATGCTCTTCAGAAGCCCACAACGACCCACTTCCTTCGTACTTCGCATTGCGTTTCGATCATGCTAGCCAAGATTTTTCTACCATAAAGGCACCGAGCTCCTATAAACAACGTGTCTTATTCCAGTTAATTCTGGAACGTGGGCAATACGCCTACTATGTTTCTAGGCATTCATATCTCCTAACGCCAGAGGTTTCAGGAACGAAACACGGAACAGCTCAAAAAAATGTTCTTATCAAACGCCAAGATTTCCAGACCTCATGAAAAAATATTTTTCTGCCCGTATTATTACTATTCTTAGCGATCGGCGTCGATCGTTTCCTAATCTTGTAGTCGATCCGCAAGAGTGCTGGAACGGATTCTGTTTATATATTTACAGAAGCATGGTAACTTGCGGGCCCTTGTGGTGTTCGATGTTGAAAATGCCGATCTGATCCACAGACACTATGAGTATGTCTAATGTGTATTTTTGTAAACTAACTTTATTTCATATTTTAAGGAAGTACCCTAATTGACAGATGAATAAGAACTAAAAAACACACAACAAAAGTTTTATTATGGAAAACCCCCCATTTCCAAGTGAACAGCACATTTCGGACGAACCTGCTGCGAAGTAAATATCTCATTTGCTCTATATTTCTGTTAACAATTTCCTTCCAGACAGTTGGAGAAGTGTGGATTGTACGGAAGGATATGTAGAAATCCAGCACAAGTTACTGAATAGTATTCTTTTTCTTTCTTGGTGGCCAAGTAGCAAGTCAGGCGGTCTGTTTTTAAACTTAGTTGGCTCGTGAGTAATGTGGGGTCGTTGTGAGGTCGTACGTAAGCTACGGGAGTGCCACGGCACTTTTCCACGTCGTTACTTCGTTGATCTTGCTCATCGAGTTGACCATGGAAGCGAGGGCGAGCTGCATAGACGTCCATAGTTAAATCTACGAACGTCAGGAGGAAAAACTTTTGTGCAACGGCACAAATGATTGCTCAGTTAAAACTAACGTCACACTACGAACTCAAAACTTATGGAATACCATCTTGCAATAGTTTTCGAGTGGATTGCCCTGTATATTACAGTGACCTTTGCGGCAAACTTCTCTGCACAAAAACGTGCACAGATACTCGGAATAGTCCATGCCGAATTGTATATTCTGTAGTCATTCATTTCTATCCTTCCTCCTTGTTTTCTATGAACAAAGTTTATATCACCACATCCAGAGATGCCCCTGCGATCTCGTGCGCAAAACTTCCATTTTCCAGCGGCTTAGACATGTTTCTTGTACAATAATAACGACCCACACAGCTAGAGGGTCACAGCAGCAAGAAAACAGACTCGAGCTTTGCTACTAACGCTTTGGCGACGGAGTCAATCAGTACGACCGGATCGTCACTGTCATCCGCAGCAACAGAGAGGACGACGAACTGATGCTAGCAGGTGCTCGGGCACAGGACATATCGGTCTTCCCATATTCATATCGGCCGACAGTACACCGCCATGACTTGGAACCAAATTGGTTCCATATTAGTCCCATAATTACTCCCTTGTATTTAGTTTGTATGCATAAATAACGTCGACCTAGTCATACTGAATAAATCCAATAACATATTTTAGGGCATTCACGATCCCATTTACGGTGGCGGCCATTACCGCTATGGTGGCATAAAAACGAAGAGTCACGACCGAACCATGTCAAGTTTTGCTGATGGAGGATGAACTAATTTCTCTTGGCCTGTATCTACCTCTGTGTCTGTCTACCTGACGACAGGTGGCAAGCGGCGACCGAAAGACTTTTATGCCAGACATATCGGAATAGTGTTTACGTAAGCATCATTGATTAGATGATACCGGAGTTATCGACGATCTTATCACCAACTATTTCTATTGAGAGATAGGCACAGCAGCATATTTCGGCAACGATATAGCTAAACAGGACAAAATTCCGGCGACGTGACATTATCACATTCTTAACTAGAAGTAAAATAAAGCTGGCATGAAAAAAGCTATATACGATTACACTGTGTCCTATTTGTGACATCGCGAACTACGCATAGTCGTGCTTTACGTTGTAGGTCCACCGGACGCATTTGTGAAAGTGTGCATAAAGTTTTTCCCTAAGTGAGCATCTATCATTGAGCTAATTGGCTTCTTAATAAATGTCAAATAAAAAGCTTGTAAAGAACCAGTTCTTGTCAAAGAAGGGGAAACACTGAAGTATGGTCTTTACGCTCCCCGTTAAGATGGGCTCTGCACGCGGTTAAATCTAGCTACAATAAAAACACGCAAAAACGTTTGTTTTTTATTTTTTTTTTTCTCAAAAATGGCTGCATATCGATTGACACAATGTACAGCTTTCCAATTTCAATGTCCCCCTAAGGTTAGGTGTGGAAGGAACTCTACAGGAAGCTTCTAGCGAGGCGATATATCTTCACCGAGAATTTGCTGGATAATAAATAATATCAAAGTTGGCGGGCTGTTTCCCGGGCACGATGAACCTAGGATTGGCGTACTCCGTATGCTAGTTCTCTCGAATATGTCTGACGTTTGACTAAAAAATTACGTATTCGACACTCTGACCGATATGAGAAAAAGAAGCTTCGTCCATTTCGTACAAATGAGCCGCTTTAGCTTAGTGGACATTTCAAAAACGGAATGACTGCTTCCATTGTGTTTGAATAAAACGCAGGGGCAGTTTGCCATCGAGTTTAGATAGCAACGCATATTATATAACTATCGACTGTAATAGTAGCAACGTTTTTCGCCCGCGTTTGTACATAAACGTAACCTATCGATTTTTGTACCCACACTTCTATGTACTTTGCATCGGCTGTATTATAATTATTGTATAATTATAGTATACGTATACTACTTACCTCGGAAAGTTTGTCGAATCGAGCAAATAATTCGTTAAGTGTCCTAACTAGGTCGGCCGCTGAGCAGGTTGATGAAAAGGCTGTAAAGCCAACGATGTCGGCGAATAGAATGGATACGTTCTCGTGTCGAGACATGTAGATCTTTTTGAAGGGGCCAGTTACGGCGGCATCCAGGTCTCGTTTGAGTTCGGAAGCAACATGCTGCGGCAGCACAGACAGAAGAAGACGTTCCTGTTCACGGGATTCTTCCTCCACAACAAGTTTCACCTCGAGTGACTGTCGTGTTTCGAGAAACGCACGTCGCTGTAGTTTCTCAAAGAAGGCATAACACATGACGCCCAATAGGTTTACACAAAGGAATAGTACAAGATTGGCGCCGATTTGCGCCCCGTTGTCGGGTGCCGAGCGGTCGATAACAAGGCCAACATGAACGCCGGCTGTCAGCACAGCGCAGACCAATGTTGTCGGTAAACGGAACGGAAAGAGGAGATACAGCGCGAAACTGTACAACAATACCCATTGCAGGGCGTCGGCTGGTAGTCGAGGGGCCATCGAAAACAGGTAAAGATCGCTGAGCATGTGACCAAGCTGGATAAGTACTGCTCCAGCGACGAGCGCTGCCAGCACACGGCGCGACAGGATCCGCCGGGTCGCAAGCGACCTGGCGGACACCAGAACGAGCAGAGCGACGGCGCCTAGTGTCACGATGGGCGGACCCGCTGCGCCGGCCTCGGCACCGGCGAAGAAGAATGCACAGTAGCCGCCGAAGATGGCCAGATTGACCAGCGACGCCGTCGGGAACCACGCTCGGAAATCTAGACACTTCTCATTCTGGTAGTAGTCCTGGTACAGCCGTTCGGCGTCTTCATCGGCGAATGCAAAGCGCAGACATCGCGGCAGGAAGCGTTGGATGCCGGTCGTATCAATCGAAAGTTCCGTCGTCTCGCCGCCGCCCGCGTTACCCGCACCCCCGGGGCTGCCAGTGGCCTCCATCCCACCGCCACCGCCACCGCCACCATTCTGTGGACAGGGACTGCGGACCGCTTGCAGACCGCTGCAACCACTGCTCTGCACAAGCAGCGTCTGTTTAACCGATTCCCCGTCAGCGACGGGATGCTCGTTGTTGGCCTCGAGCGTCATCGTTGCCTAACGAACGAACGTTGTGTCAGGTACGTCTCACGAGCGTGATGGCCTCTGCTTTCGTTCTTTCTGTCAGTGCAATCCCAATATTGCTGCCGCTCCAAAAGGTTCCGTTGTAGTGTTTGCTGTTAGTCAGGGAAAACGGCCAACGCGTACCAGTTTGATGGTAGGGACAACGGCAACAACATCGCTGATGACGATGACAATGCTTGAATAATGGTTAATATTAAATAGGTGTGGTTCTATTGGTGTCGTTCGTTAAGAACTTTGGTTCTCTGTGCAGCAGACGATTAGGTAACAAAGAGAACAGTGCTTGGTTGCTCTTGTTTACCTGTGCTACAATGCAACTTGTACTTCTTGATTTGCGTTTATATTTAGCTTCTAAGTTTAGATTAAATTCTAACTTGGCCTGCCTACTCGTTCGCTTGCCTACTTGTTAACTTTAGAGTACAAAGAGAGTGAACTGTAACATTCATTGATCGCTTGGTGGAGATCCAACGCTTAACAGCAGACTTTTTCGTGAGCAGAGCTTGAATGCAGAATTTTGATTTTTCCTGATACGGCTGTTGGCAGGATCTTGTGCTCCTGATGTTCCTTTCCGTGCTTAATACGTATCTTTCCCCTGCTCCGATGTTTGGCAGATAACTGCACAATGCAACTTGAATTTATATAGTGGTAATTATCCCGGCTTTCGTATGGTAATAAATCAATTAGGATCACTTGATTTCTATTATTGCTACCTTCGCTGCTGCTGCTACTGCTGCTGCTGCTGCTGCTGCTGCTGCTGCTAGAGAACCCGGTCAGCGTTGATCAAAGCCTAGCTTGTGTTTCTATGCGTATTGTACACGGTATATCAGAGCGACGACGAAATCCGCACATGTAATCATGTACCACCATTCAGAGAAAAGGAAGACATAACATTTTGTAGCGCACATAACGGTGACACCACTATCCACGTTGTTTGTCGTCCTATTTCAGCAGCTCATACCTTACTGACTTCACTTCAATGGCTGTCGAGGTGGGCCAAATATTATGTTGGATGCAGTTTCCGTATTGCGCTCTTCACAATACAGTGATGATGGAACGCGTTAAACGTAAATATGTTGCTGTGTGTGTTTATTTTTCCACGGGTCCCTTTATGTACAGTGAAGTTGTTTAAGTTGAACTTGAGGGTTCCTTTGTCTCCTTGTCAACCAGTGCTCCGCTGGCAAGGTTCTGAAACATGCGCACATCCATACACACACTACATTCATACATTCACACATACACACACACACACACACACACACACACACACACACACACACACACACACATATACGCACGCATGCACGCTCGACACGACGAACAGTACGCGATAAAACGCAATATGCCGAAACGTTTATCGACGATATGCCGCACAAAAAGCCCAAAATTTTATCCTATAAGGTGTTGCGATACGAAGATAGCGTACACCTCGCCATCAGCATTTATTCCTTCCTTATGCACGTTCACTTTATAATTATAACACTATGTCAAAACACTATATATTTATATACCGTTAGACCTATTAGTCTTCTGAAGCTCAGGCAGTAGCAACTCAGCGACAATCGAAGAGATTTTTCAGTTTTTTCAACAACGCCAGTCAGAAAGGATTAATTGTATATACGCGCACCTCCCGCACAAAAGGGTACTATTATTATCTACCCGGTCAGATTTTCAGAATACAATGTATGCTTCTTGCGATTTTGTACAGATATCTAATTGTTATATCTGATGATATTCATGATACACCCTTGTGTTTAGCTTCACTCGCTCAGGCCTGGCAGCCCTTTGTCGAGTTCTGGTCCTTGTCGTAACGTGAACTCAGAATGTTGTACGCGGGTGGGCGACTTGTAACTTCGCCTTTGAGCCTATGTAAAACCTTTTGAGGCTTTCGAGCTATGGGAACAAGAGTCACTGTCGTCGTTCACTTCATGATGCAACCTGGCGCTTGCAGTACCGTTGCGTTGCCGACGCTATTGGCGACAAGAGAGACTAACGACTCTCGGGACGCGGCGAGCCCAGTGATATAGTCGCAACTATAGCGGAAATGGTAGCGCCAGTAGGTTTCGTCGCCCCTTGCCGGCGGTAGCAAATACGAAACTGGACCTGCCGGACGCGTGCGATCGTTTCACCCGCGAAGGCAGCCGGCCGTTTTTTTTTCCCCGTTAGACTATCGCTGTCGCTGTTAGTGCAGCTACTGTCGTTTGTTTTTTGTGTCTTGTCCCGCGTTTTCGCCGGCTGCGTCGCGGCGGTAGAATTTGTTTCAATCTCGTTCTGATATTAAATCTCCTCGTCCTCGTCAACACCTGCCCACGACGGCTTGTTTATACGTCAGCAACGCGTTTTTCGAAAACGACCAGTTGAACGGGACGAGGTTACAGTTCGTACTGGTTTGATTCTTGTTGTTGTGCGTATCGTTCCCGTCCTGTAGGCAGACGGCCTTTATCCGCTGCAGTTGGTCGAGGCTATGAGGCCAGGCAACGTAGTGCATACTGACGCTGTTGATATTGCTACTGCTGCTGCGGGTTTCCGCAGGCTATTTGCCCTATAGCTTGCTAAGTTCGCCGGTTTGCCGTAAGCCTGCTTGCGTTTCCTGATACGTTTGTGTGCTTACTACAATAGCGATGCTTTAGCATCACAAATGGTGACAACGAACGCTTTTTCTCAACGCGGGACGCCAAGCCTCCCTCCTTGCTGTTTGTTTTTTCGTTCCTTTTGACCTATCGCAGTAGGAGCAGCCTTCGAATATATTTTGCAGCGAATTGTCACTTTTAGTAAGTCAGCGGTGCCTGCTCTGAAACCTGGCTCATTGCTTTCGGGGCTCGACGAGCAACTGGCTCACGCGTAAGCTGTCGATCCGTTGGTCCGTACTGTTGAAGAGATTCGCCGACGTTACTGTGTCCGCGTATCCTGCGACAGTCGATCTAGCAGCGAATTGCTGTCGAATGTTGTTGCATGCGCCGCAATGGCTACAGTCATCGCTGACGTCGCTATTGAGCGGGACGAGTTACTGCTTTCGCGGGTGCTGCTGCGGTGGCAACGTCTTCATCATATCTTTAGCAAGCGATGGGCGTTGTGCGCCACAGATAAACAGCGCTATCGTCGCCAACCGATAACAGGTCATCACGAAGCTGCGTCGTTACAGGGTACAAAAACAACACCTTACCCTACTTGCAATTTCTTGTCTATCTGTCGTTCGTGCTCTTAACCGGCTGGTAGTCCCCCTGTCGATAGACCTCGAATCCGTAGTCATTGTTGTCTCCGACGCTCGCGTGTGACCCGTGTGTGTGTGTAAGTGGGCGTGCGTATGCGTGTCTGCCTGTACCCCCGTCTCTATAGGTTGCCTCCGTGGAGCGTCCCCAACAGTCAGTTGGTCAGCCGGCAGCTGTGGCCGTACCACCGGAGCGAGGCCTTGCTTGTTGCCGCTGTATGGGTTAAAACGATCACAACATTGGTATCAGCCATCGCTATTTCTCGAGTAGCAGAGGTCAGACCACATTGGTGACGGCCTTTTCCGCCAGCACTGCAACTATAAACCTCTTTCTAGTGCAACAGCATCTACTTACACGAACTCGTCATGATGATGAAGACAAAGAACAATGATACAGCTACCGGCAGGGACTCTTCCGTCGCTCGTCCGTCACTCACCCGCTCGCAAACTCACAGGGTCATCATGAACCACAAGCACACATCAGCAGTGGCAAGCGCTGTCGCGGTTACTGGCTCTGTCTATTCCCGCTTACGCATTCGCGCACCCTGTCTACGACAAAGAAGCGACGCACAAAGTACACTTTTCTGTAGATGCTAAAGCTTTGTTCCGTCAACACGACACGACGGCAGGAGAATAGGTAAGTGAACACACACTGGCGAATGACAGCGGAGATAGTATAAAACAGACAGCCGTAGAGTCCCTCAGATACTGCCGGTCAGCAGTCGACGACACTCAATGTTTGGCTTCGTCGGTTCGAGAACAGCGGCGTATTATTTCGGGACCGTAAGTGTCACATGGATTGTAGTAGCAGCAGCAGCAGCAGCAGCAGCAGCAGCTGCACCAGTAGTAATCTACGCTGTGTGATGCAGTGCTGGGGACGTAAAACCCACAGCGCTCAGTAATCGCATGTGGTGGCCCGAATAACTGTAGCAAATAGATGAGCAGGAGTGCTAATGTTCGCAACAATTAGGTGTTGGGGGTCAGCAATTAGTCCTCGTTTGTGCGCTTTTACACAGTCCAATCCATGCTGCTCGCAATGATCATTTTTGTCAATGGCAACGTCAACGCTACTACCACGCGCATGACGATTGACAGACGGTAGCGGGAGCGGCCGCGACGCTGGTGACATCCCCTTTGTCTGCCCTTCTTGTATCAGTTGAACGCGCACATTGAAACACCAAAGGAGTAGAAGTGTGAGCATAGCCTTTAATATAGAGAGCCACGTAGAGAATGAATCACGCGCGTTGAAAGCCTCGCAGAGCAAATTGTAAATCCTGATAATTAGCGGTCAACCGAATGGTTCGATTGCTCCAGATAAATGGCTCGCTTATGGACGAGCGTGACAATCAGATGTTTGTTAATAAGTATGGTAGCATTTATTTTTTGACTGCAATTCTATTGTTTTTATCGAAACGAACGAAACCCAGGCAGCGAATACGTGTGACGTACCTCGTCATTCAGTCGACCCAGGAGCAATTACAAGGGTAACGATACAGTTCAGTAGGGATTTTCATCATCGACGTAATTTATATCTCCTTATATACGAAGCATTACTTTCTCGTTCCGATCGTAGGGACAAAATCACTGCCATTGTCAAGGACAGCGAGCCCTCAAGATGCATTACGTACAAAACATGATTCCTTTAGCCTGTGTTGCTGCCACCGCCGCTGCTAGTACAACAACAAATAAGCATTGCCCGTTCTTTTCGGACTGGTAGCGGGAGCAGAAAGGGCAGCGACAACAAGTTGATTAAGTTCGTGGCAGTTACAGCAGCTACGGTCTTTGCTGTCGGCACGGCGGCTGGTCAGTTAAAGTCGGAAGCGGGCACGTGTGGTTCGAGGAGTCTGGCGAAAGAGGGGCATAGTCCGCTGACCTATTGTTGCACATGGGCGACCCGCAGCAAGAACACAGATAGCTGTTTTTTCAGTTAAACCACTAGACAGAGCCCTAGGTAATTCGTTTTTCGATGTGCTGCTACCCCTCTTTTTGTTTTACTTCACTGTGGATAATGAACACGAGCGGATCACTGACAGCAGTGGTCAGCGCGACAAAATACAACCCTATCAGGCAAAAGCACGGCAAGGGAGCGAGGGCCGGTAGATCGTGCTTCGGCTAGAGCCTGCCAGAATATGGCCCGATGACAGTAGTGAAGACGCTGAGAAACGCCGAATGAAGGCCAGATGATAAAGGCTAGGGACCGCTGCTTAGACGCGACACATGCAGATACAGACCACACAGACAAGGAGAAAACGGAAGGGAGAGTTGGGACGGGAAGAGTCGGGAGGCGGCGATTAACAGTTAGACGTAGTATTCAGACGCCAATGCACTAACCGGGACTCTCCGTCGGTCGATCGGCAGAATATATTGACAGTGGCTGAAGGGAGTCTGTCGTTTGTCTTGCGTACACTGTGCTCTTCTGTAATTGTTATGTGAACGACCCATTAGTGGTCCTAGTAGTAGTTCCTTTGCTGAGTCAGTTTATAAAAGCTTGCAAACGCTGGCTAAGAAAACCTTAAAGTTTTCTGTAAACGTTGCTATATTATCAGTGTTGACAATGATAAACTGTACCTGTTGTTGTTATTACTATTGTTGATTCTGTGATTGTTTTGTGTCAGTCAAATGGGGTTCTGCTATTTCAATTCGGTCGTCTTTGCATCGAAACTTTAATACCTTTTCGTTTAATACAACTTTTCGTTTACACGTAATCAAATTAATACAAATATTATCTGTCGAACTTGCACTATTATCGCTGGGTACGGATTGTTGGCAGGCAATGGCTTATATGCGGCGTACAGCTCACGACATTATATGTACATTGCAGGTGACTGTAATTTATCTTGGCTGCCGGCTGGCTCATCGGCTGCACGAAAAAAAACCGATGATGGCTAGCGTCGTTGTTGTTCTAGCTTGCTGGATCATAGGACATTGTCTGCAACTGCTTTGCCTCTCCCCAGCCCAATAGCTTTGCCCGCCGTCACTATTCGACCAACACTCTATGAAAGCTATTGTTCTAAACGACTTGAAACTATGGGGATCGGTTGCGGATGTCGTCGACGACCCGCGCTTCTGTGTTTTATGACTGTAGTTAACATTGCCGTAGCAATGCGTTCGATACTTCCATTTCTGCAGCCGAATCAGGACAGACCACTGCAGGACACAAGGCTGTGGCGGATTCTCACGACGCACTACCAGCAAACGCTGAAGGTATCAGCACCGCAATATATAAGGGCAGGATTACGACATGAGCCGAGACGACAGAGTCGCGTCAAGCGACAAACATCGCGCAGCAGTAATAGCGGTAGAACTCGTCGTCTTTACTGGCCAGGCAATAATAATAATAATAATAACAGCAAAAACAACACATAAATAGTCGAGCATGAACGTCAATCGTCTTCACTCAACAGCTGAACGGTGGGTCCTTTCTGCTACCAGCTTTTTGGTAGTGCCTCCCTGTGTTATCAATTAGTGACTCGTTTGTACATCAACTGAGAGACATGTTTGACGATCATATGAAGCAGGTAAATGGTGAACCTTCGAACAACGACCGATTAATAAACAGATCCTTTAAACACACACACATGCATACTGCTCGGCAAGCGATGCCATAGGCCAGAAAATTATCCCAACACCCAGATTCGCTGCACGGTCTTTTTTTCTATGCACACTAGCAGTAGCACAGTAGTGCCGCCTATTATGTTGCATCTGCTTTTCGTCCGCTTTGCTGCTGGAACTTTTATTCCTAATAAATATAACAGTAATCTGCTCCGTTCGTCTGACGGGGCCTCACGCCCGATCTACACTTGCTCGCCGATACTCGGCCTTTTGATACGAAAATTCAGATGGAGTAAAAGAGACTGCGGTGTCGTAGTGCGGTTTCTGAATTATTCCGTGACTCGTGTTCTCATGCTTAGATTAAGTGGCAATAGCAGCAGCAGCAGCAAACGCATTCTGCGCGAGCTCATTCACTGTGAACAGCAGTCAATCACCAAAACATCCTACTCCTGCTGTTTTTTGCTGCTTCGATGGTGGCGGTGGACCAGCAGCACGAACCGCTGTTACGTTATGACGGCCGCTGTGTATAGCGTCCGCTTCGTTCCTGGCACGATAGCTCCTCGCTGCCCCGCTATGGCCATAGGATTACTGCTGCTTCAGTCGACTTGAGCGCCATCGTACCGTGCCACAAAAGTGAGTGTTTGTTGTAACTGTCTGGCGGCAGCCAGCGAGAGGGCGGCTAAAAGGGAGAGTACGTTAGTAAGCAACGGCCGTCACTAGCGAGCCCTTCGTCTGTTCACACGGTTTCGCGCGACCGTCTCTTTCCTGTTCCGTTTGCTGCCGTTCGCCGCCCCTATTTGCCTGCCTGCCTGCCTGCCTGCCTGCCTGCTTGCCTTACTGCTTCGTACGCCTGCCTCTTCACTATCGCTATTGGCCGCTGCTGTCGCTGTGTGGTAGCCGGCAATCTTTGGTCCCACTACTGCCAGTACTACGACTACTGCCTTATTCCATGCGAGAAAACAGCCGGACAACATGGAATCATCGCAGCCATGGCCACGGCCACTTGTCGAGGCTATGGCGCCTACTTGACTGTAAAGGCAGCCTGCGCTAAGCGCCCGCCAACAACCCACAGGGGTGATTTCACCGCCCGCCCCAACGAGTCCATTGCTATCTGCGAAGATAACAATGGACCTGCAGACGGCACAGTGCAGATCACTCTGTCGCATGCTAAACTATTTACAAATATGTACCGGCAGTATTGCGGGAAAGCTGAACGACGGCTACAGCAGACGTTGCCAGATCAAGATACTAGTATGAATGAGAGGAGATATGCAGCAGCATTGAATAGTGGGCTGCAGTCCGACTTATCGACAGGGAAACGGAACAACAAACTCACGGACGATGTACCTGAGAAATCAGGTAATCGAAGTACCTCTAATAAAAGCTTCCCTTGGCAAATGGACTTCTGTAGTTTCTATCCTATGTTGCCCTCTGATCCGGATGGATCATTCATGTTTTATACGAGCATCGAGGGGCATATCCCCAGTTTAGCTTAGCTTGAAGGGGACATGATCGTTAGCACCTTCCCTGAAGGGCCCCAAACCCGATTATTCAATACACATTTAGAAGAACTAAACGCGTGAAATAAATTAAAAAAAAACATTAACCAAATCAATCTCTATATTGTGATTATGATTATCATATATGAGGAACAAGTAACGTCCCAAACATATTTACTCCCCCTTACTTTCCCACAAAAGGGAATACTGTACATTTAACAACTGGCATAGCTGGATCATCCTGCCGACCTACTTGACCTACTGCCCAAAAGCACAAAACGTCCTTAAAAGTGTAGAATCATCTTAGTCGTACGTATGAGGTAGGTACGTTGATAGTTGGCTAAGAATAACTCGTAAAGGTATGATTCGATCCTAGTTAGTGTATAACACAGGAAAGCTGTGTCGCATCAGGAGTTTATGGTCACGGACATTTGTTGTTTACGATATGTACGTTAAGTCTCAATTCAACCACTGATACAATGTTTCATTAGGAAAGACATGCTTTTGAATTTAACCCACTTGAAACGAGCACGGACATTGGTGACCTTTAAAGGTACTTTCAAACAGTACTTGATTTAAAAATATGTGAATATTTAGACTCAGTGTCTGGTTTATTTCGGACAGCGACTGTTTTTAAGTGAAAAATGTATATAAATAATACATTATAAAGCAGAATTTATATCTAACATAATTAGAAGTATACAGCATGTACTGGAAGCGATTGGCTTGTTTCATAAGTAAATCTTTTAAGAGGGGCAAGCTGGCGAAAAGTTGTTAATTACAGCCTTAGATTTAGCGCACCAGATGGAAATTTCATAATTCGACCGTAGTAACCTGTGACCTAATCGTGTTTCATTACCTCTCATCATTACTATCGTGTCCCATTTGCATGGAAGCGTTTGTTGTATTGTATAATCGTGATTTCGTTATCGACCGGGTGAGTGCGCATGCGTCCACTGGCCCGAGTGAAGGCCTGTTCTAGAGTGGAGCGGCCACCGAAGAGGGCCAGCTGACGGCGAAATCAACAAGCGTTCGTTTTTACGAATCGAATTCGTCTACTGTAGAAGTTCTTCGTCTTTACTGCAAAGAAGCACTGACTCCTCCGAACAAACGCATGAGATCAAATCTCGAATCAAACGGGTCGGTTGTTGCTGAAATAGATAGATTAACAGTCACATTTTAAGAAGCACCCCTATGACTATAGGCTTGAGTGGAAAACAGATGACACGAAATGCGGCCTCCTGAAAAATGTCTGTTACTTGCAATTGCAATACGCCGTATAGCGTCGCCATTTTATGAAGAAAAGAAACCCTACAGTGTTCTTCTTGTTGATTATCATAAAATAGCAACGTGTTAGGAACGCATTTGATCATTTCTTACTGCCGATCCTCATCGATTCAAGCACTAGCCTTACGCCAGGGGGCTGATCGACATAGCATCAAAGCATCATAGCGACAAAGCACCTCCTGTTGCTGTCAGGTCAGTGTTGTGGCTAGGATCTACGATTGTAGGACTACGTATCGTCCTTTGTTCTCTAAAAGTCACTGCATTAGCATAAAATACGCATTTTGAAATGTTTTTAAGAAGATAGAATTGTGTATTTATTAATGTTTTTTTGGCACGATTGGCTAGTAACGACCAGGAGAATGCACTCATATATCTAGTAGGATTCAGTAGTAAACAGTAAACAATCAATACAAATAATAAATCAAATAGATAGGATACACTTCGATAAGCGTTAGACAAGATACGCTGTTGTTGTTCTTTGTGCTTTTACGCGGACATCTGGAGTATATAACAACATTTTATTTAACATCTTAACCTTGACAACTAGTGACCTATTGGGTTTAGATTGATATGCGTTTTCAAGATATCTTAGTACATCATATTTTGGACGGATCTTTTTTTAAAGGAACCATTTGAACAATTGATACCCATAAATTTCACTGAGATTTTATGCCAGCCTGTAAGCAATACCAAAGATTAATCTAAACCTAAATAAAAACCAGAAGAGCCTGAGTCCATTTCGATAAATGACAAAGATAAAATTTATCCAACTCAACCTAAAATGAAGCTGAGGTTCACTAGTAATTCTTATGTAGATAATGCGAACTAACGTTATCACTTTTTATTCGTAAATAAAATGTATTTTCTCGATTTTTATGAAGATTCATCCTTCCCTGAATTTGTTTTTGCACTATATTAATGCCAAAACTTTGCTTATTACATCCGTTCAGAGCTAGAAAAATGGGCTTCTTGAGAAAACAATGTACATCTCAATCAAATATATCCTTTTTTGGCTATAACTTTTGGACAGAGAATGTAATTACTTTTAATGAACATATGTTTTCCGTCCTTTGTCCAGGAATACGCTAGAGTTGTGTCACACTACGGGTCTTCTTTTTCTAGACGGAACGTCTTATAGAACCTTTAAAAAGTATGAAATATAGCCTTTCTCTGGCTTTGACACGTTGGCTTTAGAGAGTCTCATAACATAAATGAATCTTATAACATTAGTGAAAATCCCTGGAGCGTTTCGTTTTACTTTTCTTTTTTTGCAGAAGATGCTTCCTAGAGAGGAAATTTCTAAAAGAAAAATTCAGTAAAAATAAAAACATCTGGATGTATCGTCCGAGTGTATGGTACCGCACGAATTTCATAAACGCAACCCTTTGTTGTTCCTGCAGTGGAAATATTCGGTGCATTTCGTTCGGTTTTGAAAAAGAAGGGAAAGCGAGTGATAAAAACTTCCGTCTTAAGTCGTTTATGCCGGGCGTAAGATCCACGGGTGAGGCGTCTCTGAGCGTCTGGAGGTTTCCATATGTTCAGAAGATTAGATAGATCACGGGAGCAGCCGGCCGCCTGCCCGGCAGTACAGTGAAGTGCTTCTGCTTGCCAAAGGGGTTCCTTCGGGGGGTATTGCCTGCTGATAAAAAAAAATTAAATTAATTTTTCAGCGCTACGTTCCGTGCGGATGAGCGTTAAGATGCTATAATGGGTAGAGCCGTCTGCTTCTCGCCTGACATCTTGAGTCGAAACCCCATGTAGAAAATTAATCAGTAGTCCTTTCGAAACCGCCCGCGGAAGCCGCCTGAGAACCGTAATTTTTTCTCATCCTTCCAGAAATGGTCGTTGACAATATCGTTACCTAGCTGGTGTAGCTGTACGCCATAAATACTTTTATCACGATTGTCTACATAGCTTTTAGTACTACTACTGTCATATGTCTTTGTTAGTTTTGACTAAGTTAGGAAAACCGTATAATCGCTATCGAGATGCACCGAAAAATAATCGCCAGCTGAGAATAGCCTAGATCTGTCAATTGTTATTGTTATATGGCAAATATTTTGGTAATTTAGAAACGTACGCAGTGGAGATAAAAAGCTTCGTTTATTTTCACACGATATTTTCTGTTCTACCGCAGAGGGTTGGGCAGAAGCTTCTTGATAGTTTAAAAAATTTCCGTACAATTAGACAGTTTGTATTTTGCATCGGTTAAAGTGACAATGAATTTTCTTAGGATATAACGCAGCGTAAAGTATTACAATGACGTATTTCGAAAATACAATTGGCCAGTGCTGATCCATCCTATCAACAGACAATTCCTCATGGAAGTTTCGAATATATCAGGTGCATGTTTGCGCATCCTTCTATCCGAATATATCCGTGTGTCTCGGATTCAATGCTAGCAGGTCTTTCTAGATAAGTAGAGCCGTAAGTTTTTCGCCCGCCGTAAAGCTCTTTCTGCAAGCCATACGTAATCAATTGAACCTTGAGAACCTGGTGATCTTAACGGAGTTCGAAAAGCAAGGCTGGTAGTGATTGGGTTAAACCGATATTAATGAAACCCTTTAAGTGACCACAGCAGATGTTGATGTTGTATTTGGGTGGACTAAAATTAAATATTTTACCTTAAAGTCAAATTAGATATTAAAAACACGTAATATTAGCCAATTTGGCTTCCATGCAGGGATTGCTTATATGACCCGATCCATTTTTGGGCCATGAACTTGCATAGTTCAGCATCAATTACTTAATGAATACGGTTTTTCTATTCATGGACCATTTTCGATACTATTCGTATGCAATGTTTTTTTACAAAGCCTCATAGCTTCATAATGAATCGGGGAGTGGCGTCATGTTGAGGTCGTCAGATCAGCATCAACGCTGCTCCGTACGGAAGCGATC